GGGGGGGAGTGCAACAATGGGTAACCAAGATGGCCGCCCGCTACAATGAGTACCTCTTACTACTAGTAAACTAAGGCTTCCGGTGGGGGGCCTGCGGCCCTAGAGATTTGCTCCATGGGCATGACGAAAGACTGTAACGGGGCATCACCGTGACTACACTCCACCCTTCTGCTTTGCTTAAGAATAAAAAGAAAATGGACCAGTGCAGTTTTTAGCCCGTTTTGCTCTATCTCTAACCGTGTAGGCGCTAGAGGGTGTTTTTTGACGAAAAGAAGCCAAATATTGCCATAGTGAACAATAAGTTGTAGAAAAAGGCCTAAAAACCGCAAAATTGGAAGGAAACTCGACCCCCACCCCCAAAAAACGTTTTCTAAGCAGAAGGGTGGGTTGTAGTCGCGGTGCGTCACCGTTACATCCCTTTCTCTCGTGTCTACGGGGCAAACTCAAAGACGACGGGTTTAAGCGGGCCGAAGGCCCGCTACACCATTCGATTATGTCCTTTAGCAAATCGCATGACAGAAATGGTCGGGCCGCAGGCCCGGACATTGCCGCCGGCAGGCCAAGCAGGCCTGGCCCGGCCCCTGCCGAACGGAGTTGCCGGCGAAGCGAAGCGGAGCTGGTGACTTCGTTTGGCGGAAGGGCGGGCTTGCTGGTTAGATTGTATTGTTTGTCAAACAGTCTTAAAACTTGACTTTTTGCTACTGTTTTCAAAATATCTCCCTCTTCGGCCGAAACGGTGAAAGATACGGCAAATCCGAGGGTAGATCCTGATTCACAATGTGTTGTATTGGAGGGGTACTTCCTCTGACATTTTACGATTGGACGCCTCCTTGTACGTCTTTAGGTGCAACGTGGTCATTTTCACCGTATTACCGCCGAAAAAAACACTCTAGCGCCCAAAGAGAGTCAAACGGACAAAATTTTCGGCCGAAAGGCTCTACTTTAACGAGTTACCCCTTAGAAGACCATACAAAAAATATATTTTTCCTACTTTATGGACCAACCTCTATTTTTTTGTTACCCCCTTTCACCTCCTTAGGGGTTTGCCAGGATTTGCACCAGGCGTTTCGTTGTCCAGGAGTGACCCCTAAGATACCCTGAAATTTGTAGACCTGTAGCTCATCTCCTTCCTCTTACACGGACGACGGACGGACGGACGGACACGAGAGCGGTTGCATAAGTCCGCTTTATGCTTCTTTAAAAGTAGAAGGGCGGGCTAAAAAATCGATCTAAATCGAAAGGGTTCAGATCGATCCACCTCTTAATCGAGTGGAAAAGATCGATCTCAGCCAGATCGACCTAGATCGAATAATTTTTAAACGGACCCGTTTCTACCAGACAGTTGGGGCGCGCGGGGGGGAGGGCGTCATGGTTCAGCACCACCTGTTGAGCAGCTCCACACCCACGCCCGGGTACCAGAGCAACAATGGACACCTTGCTCTCTGAGTAGTCAGCCCCCCGCGCGCGCTGCCCAGCGCTCATGCCAAAAAAAGGGTTCAATTATAAAAGTAATGATTAATATGCTAATTCAAAAAAATATCACGCAAAAAGACACATCAAGAACAAGAACAATGCAGCGAGCAGGCATGAAATGCCTACATGGCGTCCAAAAGCAGATTGTACAAGTGAGAGGGCGCTACGGGGCGCAAACTTCAATATTAAAAAAATATTGCTCGAAACTATAAAATAGAAAATTTTCTTAACTAAGGGTCCGTTTATGGTTAACAAGAATTGTTAACGTTTTTATCGAATTTGCCAAGTAATATCACATTTGTTAAAAATTGAACATTTCGCGCAACTTAAAGTAAATACTCTTCTTCTTAGTTGAACTACTGGACACTAACAAGACTACAACTCGACAGAATGCCAGAACGCCGCAGCGAAAATGTTATCGGAAGGGAAAGGGATTTAAAATTTCGCGGTTTTACTAGAGGGGTGAATCGATCCGAAGATCGGACGTCTGCGAATCGATCCAACCGATATCACCTGTAAGCGAGATCGATGCGAAAGATCGAAAACCGAAACTTAAAAGATTGATTCTGGCGAGATCGATTAAAAATCGCCCATAGAGTGTAACGTAACTACCTGGATGTGTACGTTACACTTCGTATTTTGTAACATTGCAAAAAATGGAACTGTACAAAGTGTAACTTTATTCGGTTACTGTTACGCATCACTGAACGCACGTATGCTGACGTTTTAAGTGCGGTAACGTAACGTAAACCTCAGAGAAAATAACGTTCATTTTGTTACGCAACGGGACGGGTCCCTGGCCGGCGGAACTATTATTGCGACACCTTACTATTTAAGACAGCCAAATTATCATTTATCCGCTGTGTTCAAAGACTGCCGCTTTTAATGTGATTAAAATGCATATGGTCTGACTGCATGATCGAAATATTCAACTCTAAATCAGGGCTCCGTAACTTATTACTTTACTGCCTTTAACGTTATTTCAAGGGTTAAAGTTATAACTTGTAACGTTTACTGTAGTCCTTTAGAAATAAGTTAGTTATTCGACTTGTCCAACTTTTTTCCACAGTATGTACGTATAATATCGGACATATTTCAAAATCGATAACTTGAACTTTCAATTTCACATGTGTTTTGTTACGTAACTAACATTCGTTCGTGTTAGGATAAGTTACGGAGCCCTGCTCTAAATAACGTTGACAAATTCTGTGGGAAGAATGGGTTTACCTTTTTTCAAAACCTTGATGGCCACCTTTGTTTGATGATTCCATTCAGCAGCGAAGACGTCGCCAAATGATCCGCCTCCCAATCGGCCGATAATTTTCAGAGCAGACCGGTCATTCATATCCACGTCATTCTTCTTGTCCATCGACTCGTAGATCACATCACGGAACATCTATCACAATCAAAAAGGGTTTCTAGATACCGGTAGATTTGGTTGAACAAAATGTTTGAACCAAGCAGTGTCACCTGACGGAAAGCGTGCTTCAACTGAAGAATGCCGGTGTTCTCTTGGCTGTAGAAGTTGACAAGTTGTGGGAGAGTGCGAAACGGTCTTCCCTTTTCAATGAAAAACCCATTCTCGTCCCGTTTCACTCTGTAGTTCTTCACTGTTTTCAAATGTCGAACTGAAATCATGTACACCAAGGGTGTAACTGCAAGGTGAATCCTTGAAAGTGTTCAGCTTCGTAGGTGTACACTTAGAAGTGTGCAACTCGGTAGTTGTGCACTTGCAAGTGTGCGGCTCCTCGGTAGGTCAGGGAAGGGTCACACAGCAACCTTTGATTCCTAACCACACTGGAAAGTGTACTCTGTAAATATAAGTCGGAATTTTCCAACAAAAACCCAGATAAATAGTTTCCAGTCCTTTGTCTGGAAATTTCCGAACAGTTTGGAAAACAGTTAACGTAGATGTTTGTGGCAAAAGTTAGGTTAAGTGAAAATAAAAATGGCTCTTCGTTAAAAATAAAATAAAATAGAAAACTTGGTTGAAAGTTCATAAAAATTTTCCAATAAGTTCGGAACTCACAACAGTTTGGAAAATTCTAGGGGTGTTTCGGGGTGCAAATTTTCCAGTCAATTGTTTGGAAATTTGCAACAATTTTTTTCCGGACCGTGTCGCAGAGCGTTAGTCTCCAAACCTCACAAACCGTCTGCCCTTTAAGGGGTCTGTTGACAGCAAATGAGCCTACCCTTCTACACAAATGATAACTTTCTACCGCAAAACATTTCGAAAGTATGCCCAGTAAAAAAGTAATGCTTTAACCCTTTACGTCCGAGGGGGAAATCACTTGCGAAATAGTTCCTACACCTTCCCCCGAAATAGTCCGAAATAAAGGTGAAATAGTGCGAAATAGCCCCAAAATAGACGCGCCTTTCTTACATCTACCTTGGCCTGCGGCGCTGACACCCGAGTCGGGAAGTGGCAACATGTACACAAAGATATGGGCCTACGGCCCATAACCTCGACTAAGCATGCACGGTTGTACATTTTATCGTTTATTTTCGTCAAAAATACCCTCTAGCGCCTCAACGGTTTGAGCTAGAGCAAAACGGACAAAATTTTCACCCTCAGAGCTCTATTTGAAAGAGTTACCCCTTAGGGAACCATAAAAAAATGTTTTCAAAAAATGTCATTTTTGGGACCCGTTGTTTTTCAATTTTAAAAAATCCAATTTTTGAGCTAGAATGCTCATCTTCGACCTCAATCTGTCTTTTTATGACACAAAACGACCCTAAAAATCCCAGGTCGCTCGCTCAATTCGTTTTCGAGTTTTCGTGCGGACAGATACACAGATACACAGACAGTCACACAGACAGACAGACAGACAGACAGACAGACAGACAGAAAGAAAAAGTTTTTTCCGACCGGACGGAGTAATAGGCTTCGTTAATCGCTCAGCCAACTAGGTGCCATTTTGGATGAAAATTACTGTAACATTTTTTATATTTTTTTTCCTCGAAAGTTTGGATGGCCCTCACTCGCCTTTTGTTCTGACTTGCATTGAAAACGTCAAGTTTGTGCGAGGTATTCTTTCTTGACTAACTACGCAATTTCATGATTCTCTGCAAAATATTAAGGAATTTGCTCTAAGTCTGTCGGTTCTCCAAATAGGAATTATTATCAGAAGGTAAAAGATTACTAATTTTCAGCAGAATAAAACAATTCATATCAAGGAAACCGGCAGTAGAGCCTTACACTTAAAATTTTCAGCCAAAGGACCATAAAATTGCGAAGGTACAATCCCCCAAAATTGCGAAATGTAAAGAAAGGAGTAGTTAAGTTTTACCTTCAGCTGTAGGCGCTCTAGCACGCGCATGCTAGAGCACAAAGAGGAAAAATCGAAATCTGATCCGAAATAGGTTCAGTCGCTCTACCCCAGACAATACCTGAATGACATGGCCGAAAGTGAATACTAAAGCCGAACACCCGCCACATTGATGTCAGTTATCTGTGAGTATCACACTGATCGGGCTACCAGAGTCGATGCATTAGGACAGGATGTAGAATGGGCTACCCAAATACCCTGTGTAGGATCCGGAATGTGTGTGTTCTGGCAAACGGACGAGGATGGCACCTCTGACTTGTACGTCCTCATGTCCATCTAAAACTACTTACCTGAAATCGCATAGGCTCCAGCTAAGGACTCAGAATCCCTGACGAGGAAAGTACCGACCTCAATGCCAGGTGATGTAAGTTTGTCGACGGCATCCCGGGCAGAAATTTTTCCCGCATACCACCTGAGACACAAAGTTTATGGGCCACGCAGACCGGGACAAAAGGGGGTGGGGGCAAACCTAAGGGCGCCTTCCTTTAGGGGTTTCGGGAAAACTATATAATATATAGGTCATAGCTTTTGCTATAGCTAAGCAAGTATATGCTATCCGTAGATATCGCTGCTATAGCAGCGTGACGGAATTTTTGGCTCTCTTGGCGTTCACCGTTTAACGAGCGAAGCATTGGTCAACAGGTAAGAATGAACTGAACAAAGCAGTAATTTAAAGTGATTTTAAACAGACAATTGGAACAAAATTTGCAACTTACTTCCTCTCACCTTACAGTTAAACGTTCATATTTTGAGCTTAGCGCGTACCCCAAGAAAGACTTTTCAGGAGTTTGAGATCACTTGTTGAACCCAATATTTTTCGCTCGATCCGCTCGCGGGCTTACAGGTCACTCTGCTTTTTGAACAATTACGGAGATCTTTACTCACTCGTTTGAAGCATAGGCCTATCATACGAAATTTGAACGTTTAAAGGGAGCACAAATCGACGGGTCCTACAACAATAAAAATCCTAGAGCGAGGATTCATGCTCTCCGGAGGAGTGAGAGTTTGCCCCAAATTTCCTCGCTCTTTGGAGAGCGAGGTTTGATTTCCTCGTTAGATTAGAGCAATAGATTAAGGAATGTCATTCTATTTGAGTAATAATTGGGACACCTCGCTCTTTTAGAGTGAAGATTTCTGAAGTTAATCTCTCTTGATTTTGATTTAAGTGAGATTTAAGAATCACTCTCAATAAGAGCGTGGTTTTTAAATCATCGCTTTAATAAAGCAAAGAGAAAAAATCTCGCTCTTTTTACGTCAGAGTTCTCACTCCTGTATTTGCAGTGGAAAAAGAAACGATCTCGCCACGCCACGTGCCGATTCGAAAAAGTCCGATTTTGCAGCGGCCTGGAAACACTGCATTTTATAGGGAGACACAACTAGGAGCGAGCTTTTCTTATGGGCCCTCTTCTGAACTACTACCTCCTCAGCTACCCCCGCAACACATGGGCCGGCTGGGTCCCGCCTATCCCTTTGCGTGGACCCTCGGAAGCAGGTAGCCAATCCACCACCGCAGCAACATCTCCTCAGAAAAGCTCGCTCCTGGCTGTCTCTCTCTATAGGGGCGCGTTAATCGCCGATACCAGCCGTGTCAGCAGATCTTTTCTCTCCGTGTGGTTTGGGCCTTTGAACTGTTTTAACATACTCATTTGTAATTGCTGAAGCATCTTCCCAGATTGGCGGGTCTGTAAAGATAAGATAAAATACAATTAGAACACCCAATTTAATCACAGCGTTTTTTTTTTATGAACCCCATACTACCCCATACTACCCCATACTACCCCATACTCCCGAACAACGAATTGGCGAGTTGAAGAGCTCAAGCGAGTTAGGTGCGAGTTGCCCGCGACTGTCAGAAGTTTGGCTCGAGTTAAAAATTGACGCGAGTTGGAAGTGAGTTGTGAGTATTTACGAGATGGGTAGAAGATCTTGAAAAAGGTGGACACAAACCAAATTTTCACTTTTTTAAATATTTTTTCTCTGTTATCGGGGTGAACAAACAATGTTTGAAGCATATAAAACGGTTTTTCTTATATTTCATGGCCTCATTCTGTTAGGTCATGAAAGGGTGCGTGCAAAATTAGGTTAACTGTATCATTTACTATGTTGGGAGATATCCCAAAGCCTGTTGCGTGTCGTGGTCTGGTGAACATCAATCTGATTAAGAGCTACGAAAGTATGTGTCGTTTTCGCATAACAAATTACGTACACTGTACACACACATGTAAATGTCTACACCAATCTCATGTGTTTCTCTGTGATAACACTGCAGTTGAGCCTACCTTCTTCATCGCATGCTGTCGTCGAGTTCTCGTCCAATCCTGGTATAATTCAAACAAATTTGCAGCGTTGAGGTTTTCTTGCACTCCGAATGAGTATCGTGAAATTGCGAAAGGCAATGGTAACGTACCTAGAAGTGGTAGGTGATCAGGGTAGTAGTGTCCTCCTGAGGCATCTTTTGTGTACTTCAAGTCGACGTACCCTTTGTAACCCAATCTATAATCTGCTCTTACCCTGCTGCTGTCCCATTTCACCTCGACCCAGGACCGAGTCGGTGTACCATCTTTCACTTTGAGACCCCAGCTCATAACACCTGTTTTTCCTGCGAGCAAAATTCAACGTTAACGGGGAGAACAGTAAAAAGCCACAAGTTTCTGTTACACAGTAGGTAACAAGTAAGTAATATATCGCGTACCTTCACCACCGTCTTGATTTTCCCAAGTCCAGTCAATACCTCTAACGACCACAGCTCCAGGAAAAATTCCTCTTGCTTCAACTTTGGCTCCCTGGCGCGTAGGAAGGAGTACTCTAAAAAAAAAAAAAAAAAAAAAAAACACTCACTATTAAACCTGTAATATTGTAATATTGTTTTTAGCCCGCACTTTAGCATAGAAAAGGCTAGCGAGCATATGCAATCGATCAGGTGTTGGTGTGTCAGCGAATCGCCTTTTGGCTGAGCGATTAGCGAGGCCTATAACCCCGCCTGTCTGTCCGTCCGTCTGTATGTCCGCACGATAACTCGAGAACGAATTGAGCTATCGACTTGAGAATTTCAGGGTCGTTTAGTACCATAAAAAGACAGATCGATTCCGAAGATGGGCATTCTCGCTCAAGAATTGCATTGCATTTAAAAAAAATCAAAAACAAACCCCAAAAAGACGTATTTTTAAAAAAATATTTTTTATGGTTTCCTTAAGGGGAACTCATCAATGTAGATTCTGTCCGTTTGTCCATTTTGCTTTAGCTCACACCGTTAAGACCCAAGAGGTTATTTTGGGTGAAATTAAGTCTCAAGTCCCCGTCGCCATACAATTCGGATTGAGGTTTCGGAAAAAATAAAAATTCTGAAATCGTTTTGAGTCTCGACTCAACATCTAGGATTAGACAGACCGTAGCTCAAATACTGTAGAATCTGCCGTAGTTTGGTACGGTATTTTTGACAGTGTAGCTAGAGCATGATTAATTCCTTAAGGTGCCATGGAGTCACCTGACGACATCATCTTTGAGCCCCTCTACCGCTTAAACCTCAGCATTCTGACATCCAACTCTCATGCGTACGTGAAGGGGAAGGTCGATTTGATACCCTGGGTCGATATCATCACACCATCTAAATCGCGCTACGACTCCTCAAAGATGGCGAGACGCAAGGCATCGCCATAGATGTAAACAGTGCCCTCCACACTGTGAAAAAAAGTAGGTAGGTTTTACAGGAAAATTTTCCTTGACGCAAGGCGTAAAATTACAATTTATAATCGTAAAAATACATGCAGTATGTATCGACTTCAAATCCCTTGGCGAGTAAAAAATGCGCTGTCGTAAATTCAAAACTTAAATTATAATTCAAGTTTACAATTTTTTTGTAAATTTACGACGATATTTTTCACAGTGCCGCGGATGCGTCAACTAGGCCTGTTCAAACGTTTTCAACTCAACCAAAGGTGTGTTCTTATGGCTCAAAAACCGATTTGCTTCCGTCTTCATAAATCTATGGTGCTTGCGAAATAGATGTCGTCAAGTGACGCGACGCCGTCGCACCTTGCAGTCACCTTATTACTTCTATAATTATGTATGGAAACCGGGTCCCTGTGCAGTTTCGGATAGGTAAACGACTGTCGATCCCGATTTTGTCCAGAAAACACAAACTGTTCATGAAATATTCACAGAATCACTGTATAAAAGTAGTTCATATAATACTGAAAAAGGAAAAATATTTATAAAAATGTTAGAATTGAGAGGGGAACATTGTATTTTAGTAACTCTTAATGGGGGCGGCTCGGAAGCAGGTAGCCAATCCACCACCGCAGCA